CAACATATTTTCAAGCACCATGTCTGACCGGGCAAGAGAAACAATAGAAAAAATAAACAAATGGGATTACATCAAACTAAAAAGCTTCTGCACAGCAAAGGAAACCATCAACAAAATGAAAAGACAACCTAACAATTGGGAGAAGACGTTTGCAAACCATATATCTGATAAGGGGTTAATATCCAAATATATCAAGAACTCATACATCTCAACAACAAAAAAACTAACAACCCAATCAAAAAATGGGCAAAAGACCTGAACAGACATTTCTCCAAAGAAGATATACAGATGGCCAACAGGCACATGAAAAGATGTTCAAAATCATTAACTATCAGGGAAATGCAAATGAAAACTACAATGAGATATCACCTCATGCCCGTCAGAATGGCTATAATTAACAAGACAGGAAACAACATGTGTTGGAGAGGATGTGGAGAGAAGGGAACTCTCATACACTGCTGGTGGGACTGCAAACTGGTGCAGCCACTACGGAAAACAGTATGGAGATTCCTCAAAAAATCAAGGATAGAACTACCATATGATCCAGCTATTCCACTGTTGGGTATTTATCCAAAGAACTTGAAAACACCAATGCATAAAGATACATGCACCCCTGTGTTCATTGCAGCGTTATTCACAATAGCCAAGACTTGGAAGCAACCTAAGTGCCCATCAAGGGACGAATGGATAAAGAAGCTGTGGTATATATACACAATGGAATACTACTCAGCCATAAGAAACGACGAAATCCAGCCATTTGTGACAACATGGATGGACATTGAGGGTATTATGCAAAGTGAAATAAGTCAGAGGGAGAAGGTCAAATACCATATGATTTCCTTCATTAAGTAGTAGATAACAACAACAATAAACAAACACATAGAGACAGAGACTGGATTGGTGGTTACCAGAGGGGAAGGGGGGAGGAAGGAGGGCGAAAGGGATAATTCGGCACATGTGTGTGGTGATGGGTTGTAATTAGTATTTTGGTGGTGAACATGATGTAATCTATGCAGAAATAGAAGTATAGTGATGTACACCTGAAATTTACACAATGTTATAAACCAATGTTACTGCAATAAACAAAAAATTAAAAAAAAAAAAGATTAATCTGGGATTCTTAAAATCATTTGGGATAGATCAAGGTTGGATGGTAGGTGCACTGAGCCGTTTGTAGGCTGGAACTTGGGACTCTGGACCATTCCAATTATCTTTCCATCAGGGAAACAACTGTAAAATTTTATTTCTGGACCTTTCCTTTGGCATTAGGATTTCCACTGAGTGTCTTATAATAGCTTACCAACTTCAGAATGATCATCTCATGCAGTATGCAAAGATCTTTTATGTACACTTTATTTAGATTAGTCAGAATGTTATTGAGTTCTGAAAACAATAAAACAAAGTTTTCAAAACTAGAGGGAAAATCATGGTCTTTTCTCCTAAATACATAGTGCAAGTCGTGTTTTATAGAACATCTAATATGATTCTGAATGTTCAAAGAATTAATTAATAATATTGAATTTTTTTATACTGCTTCATCAAAGTATCAACACATGTCAAGCTTAATTTAGTTTTCAAAAGTTAGGATCAATAAAACAACATCTTTGTAGGGTTTGTAGATCTATTAACCAAAATTACTAATTTTGCAAATTATATACCAAATATATATACTATATACCAAATTATAGGACAGCAAATTGCATAGCAACAAAAAAAAAATTGATGATTTAACTTGCCCAGTGAGAAAAAGCAGGATTGAATTGAAGCAATTTTTACTGTTGTTGTCATCCATACAAATATAAACTACAAAATCACATTTTTCAGAAGTTGAAGATTTTCTTGCTTTAAGAATGTGGACCATAATCCAAAATCAAATGCACCATAAAAGTAAAATACTACTACATCATCACATATTAGCTTTGATTCTACCTGCCACCAGAAAATAATTTAGGAAGCCTCTTCAGTTTCCTCAATTTAATTAAGGGCTTCCAACCACAAGGGTAAACATGAACTATAGCTTTGTTTTTCTTTATTTGAATTCTAAGGCTGCATTTTTAAAGAGTGACATGCTATAAGAGAAAGTAAATGATTAGGAGGTCTAAATTTATTTGCAACCGGCTTGCATATCCCGACAACAAGCCATTATTTTATTACAATGCTTTGAAGGCTGAATCCAGCAAGTGTAGGGAGAGATAGGATACCTCTATAATTCTGTCACTCTAAGAGGAGATGTATGAAATTTTCATTGTATATGAGGTTCAAAAACTCAGATTTTAAAATGTTTTTGTTGATGCAACCTACTTTGTAGAGGTGGGATGGGGTTGGAGTTTTATCATGCAGGGTTTCATTTTTATATCTAATTGGAAAATATACCCCCTTCTTAAGGCATAAGACTTTAGCAGAATTTTAATTAGGAAGCTAGAGTTTTCAGATGCCTTTGCTGATTTGCTTTTAATAGCCCAAGCTAAAGTCAAATTACATATTTACCATCATTTATCTGCTAACAAAATAAAATAGGAAACAGATTCATTTTGCTCTCCACCATCCCTGTCTCACTGACGTTATCAGTTCACCTTTATACACATAACCGCTGCTCGGTAGTGGGTGGGAACATCGAGGGGATAACTGTTATTTCTCAGTTTTCCACACCAATCCACTCTTTAATTTCCTAGCACTCTGTCTCTTCAAAAAGTACTCTCCTATGCCAGTACAAATAGTCATGCCCTTAGCTGGGGATGAATTCCAATTTGAAACTCTCTACAAAACTAGCATCTGAAAATCAGCTCTGCAGGGTGATTAACCTAGAACCTCTCCATTTCAGGGTGTAAAGCACTACAATTATGTTTCCCCACACAATTTCAACTTCCAACACAATCCTCCCTTACATCGCTGGGATTTTTCTCACTCTCTTTCATCTTCCTGGAGTGTATTTCTCTCTCTGCCTTGTCCACTTGGGTAATTCTGCCTCTTCGTTTATTGCTCCTTCAGTGGTCTCTTTTTCAATCTGTGCCCATAGCTCTTAGCAAGTGGCCTGCATGCAGTGAGGGCTTAGTAGCATTTCTTAACTGACTGCTCGAATGCATGAAGTGTGTTGGCATATTGTTGAGACTTAAGATAAAATTTGAAGCAAGAGAAGGAGTAAGTAAAACTTGTAAAGTTTGGGGAAAGGAACTATCATTATTTAAACCCGTTTTATGGAGCAAACCCTTGGTCTGTTTTCAGTCCCATTACATCCCTCCTCTCATCTTCCTGCTGTGAGCTCTCCAAAGTGTCTCTTGTGTATCTCAGAGCCCAGAAACTATCAGAGTCAAGCACTGGCTATAACAAGTGTCTAAAACTCAGATATCTACAAGAGATAATCATGTTACTTAACGAGGGAAGAAGGTCTGTGTATGAGGCAATAGGATGTGGTGAGGATTGTAGCAACCTGGAGAGAGCATCTTGGATATAACCTCAGAGAGCCTTGACTAGAATATATTTAGGAAGCTTAGATGTAAGAAATTTTACCTGTCTGGTTATATAAAATGCATTGATTGCAGAGAAGGGTAAGCCTGGCAACTAGAAAAGAAGAGTCAATGGGTAAAAACATGTTCCTGAATCCACTACTGGCCAGAGGAGAGGGAACACTGAGCCTTTAACTGGAGCATCTGCTCTATTCCACAGATGCACATATCCTCTTTGAAGAAATGGATGCGTTAGATTATCATAGCCTACAATCGGAAATAATCACTTAACTCACCTCCTTATTCTAATTTCTCACCCAGCAAGCAACTTTTAGATTGTGATTTTGGCTTCCCGTATAGATTTTTAACAGAAGACCACCCTAATGTATATTTATTCAATAATCAAACTTCTCAAGAAAATCTGCTAAAATAACTAAATACATTGTGTTATTTTCATAAAATAGAATACTGCATAGCAGCAAAAATAAATGAAGGAGAGCTATTTGTAAACACATGGACACAAAGTTAAAGATGAATGAAAGTTGCAGTAGTATATTTATAGTATGATGCCATTTCTACAAAGTTATAAACATGTGTAATATTATAACATTTAGGGATACACATATAGTAAATACCATATCTGAGAGAGTGGTTACATTAGTGAGGAATGGAGGGAATGGTGTAGAAGCATGTGATAAGGGAGAGACATAAAAGATATTTCAATTGTATGTTGAATATTTTGTATCTTAACCTTGGTGATGGGTACACACGTGTTCACGTTTGTATTTTGAATATATGAAATATGTTATTAGTAAACCAGACCAAACCAAACAACAGCAACCACAATTTTTTAAAAACCTATGAAAGGAACTTATCATATATACATCAGTCCCTTGGGAGTTTGGCTAATACTCCATTCTCCCAAAGTTTCTGTTTAAGCAAAACTGAGGACAAGATCCTAGAAGACAGCTCTAACACCAACCTGCTTCTTTCATGCAGTTCTAGATATTATCTCCATCTGGTCACGCCAAAGCCAACAGATGTATGTGAACACTCCATTAGGATGAGCAGAAACAAATGTTTAATCTTGACAATGTGAAGGAAAATTAGTAATAATTTGCCAGAGGATTTTGAAGAGTAATGGTACTCTCCAGGCAAAAAGTCCCAGTAACTTCAATTTATGAAACTGAGTTGGCTTTAGTTCAATCTACCTTAGATATCATCTCTCCCTAATAAAATTAAATTTTTTGAAAAATTTTAAATGCATATAACACTCTAAAATCTAGATACTTTACAGCCCTGTATCATTTATAAAATTCTCTACGCTTGGGCTTCTAACTGAGTCTGTTTTGTGCACTTGTCAACTCTCATCAGCATCGTCTCCTGGTGGAATATGCTACCAGTTTGTTAATAACTTTGCGTTTCTATTATCCCCACTAAAACCCTAAGTCCAGAGTTCTTGGCACTTACAGTCAGTAGAAAATTTGCCTCAGACACTCTAGAATTAATCATTTAATTAATGTAACTAATACAGTAGAACATAATTTATATACTTACCATTGAGAGTGCTTCTATCAATCAAATTAGTATCAACTGGCCAATAACCACCATCTCCATGACGACCTGTTTATTAGGAAAGCATGTCAGAATGTTAGCGGATATGCGACATGAAAGCACAAACAAAGCAAAACAAACAGGCAAAAATAATACTTTAAAATACGCAGGTGAACAAGATTTTGGCCACTCCAAAGAAAGCCTAAAAATATTAATCCCCTTATATCTTGTGAGAAACATTATTTTCCAAGTGTGTGAGAAAAATCTGTCGTGAAAATCGACTCTTTTATTTTTATTTATTTATTTATTTTTTGCTGAGGAAGATTTGGCCTGAGCTAACATCTGTGCCAATCTTCCTCTATTTTGTGGGACACCACCACAACAGGGCCGCCGATGAGTGGTTAGGTCTGCACCCACGAACCTAACCCGAGCTGCCAAAGCAGAGCGCCCCGAACTTAACTGCTAGGCCATGGGGTTGGCCCCTGAAAATCAGCTCTTTTAAACAAGCTAAACTCAACTTCTGAAAAGCTGTCCCCTCTCTTCTTTTTCTTCCAGTATCTTTGGTTAAAGTGTCACCAAAAGTTTCAGCAGTGGTATTAGTCTAAATGTTCTCCTAAACATCTCAGAAGAGAAAGGGTGCTGGTCATGACTCTTAGGGAGGCAGAGCACTTCATTTAGGCTGCAAGATGTCCTGCCTACACTGTTGCCCATTGGATAGGACTCTGTGGCAAACTATCATTATTACTCTACAAGGGGACAGCACATCTTGTCTTATAACTGGGCTTTAAGTAGTCTTTGTGTTATGTTCCAAATAGGTGCCTGGAAATGAGCTATTAGGCATGGAGTAAAGAGAAGGGGTTATGTCACAACACACATGGTCTGAATACTTCTTATAAATACATCAGGAAAGGAAGAAAGCTTCCTGAGTATCACATTAGTGGAAACACTACCTTCCAACAAGTGTTCAACAGTTGTAAATGTAGTGTGTAAGAGAACTGAACCAGAAATTAACCAGAAATAATTAGACTATCATCCAAATTTGATTAATAGTGTTTCACCACAGGTAATCCCTTTTTCTATTGGTACATTTGTAGAACTGTAATTATTTGATTAGATTTTGCATTCTAGAATATTTATTAGCTAAATCATTCAGAGAAAAATGTTTGGGAGTTGAATCTATATGCAAACACATACAAGAAATACAGCTAATTCTCCATTTTATTCACTTCAGAGGGTTATTTCTGAAAGCAGTTATAATCAGTGGATGATGTAGAGGAAGCCAGCTGGGGCAGTCAGCTACAATAACACAGGTTGTTTTCTCAAGTGTATAGATTTTAGTTTTCTTCTTCCTTAAGACTTTCAAGTCCTGCTCTTGTGACATTCTTTTGCATGCCAAGCTCTTTTCTTACTAAGCTCTTCTTACTAAGCTTTCTCAAGATTGCATCATTTCATTTGCAAAATAGTTCTGAAGGAACAACTTAAAGCTTAACAAACTATACATTCACAATTTTTAAAATTCTTTTGATATTAAGTCAGCCAAAGTTAGAATGTCCAGCTTCCAACAAGCAATGCATAAATTAATCCAATCACATCATATTCTGTTTTCAGCATTAATTACTACATTTAAATCTGCTGGCCAATGACTGTGGGTATATAAGGAAGTGGGAATTTGGTTGGAGGCTCCTGTGTGTGTGTGGAGAGAGTGTGGGTGAATGGTGAGAAGAGCCACTGAAATAAGCAGCAACTGTGAAAATTTCAGTGGGTTGACTCAGCCTTTTTCCAAAATCTAACTCTTTTCTCCAAATTCCTTGCTTGTATTACTCTGACACAGTTGGGCTTTCAATGAGCAGAAGATCAACTTTGCCCACGGGACATTGTAAGATCAATGTTGAAAGAAATGAAGTGAGACAGAAGTTCTGTATGAATATTAAGATGAGTTTTCTCACATCTGAAAGCAACTAGATTGTAAAGCAGTCAACCAAAAGAGATGCCAACAGCCTCATCACTTAGGCCAGTAAAGCAATAAATGATTCCTATTGGGAGTAATCCTGTATTGGCTAGAAATTAGGTAAATAGCCTGTGGAGGATTTTCCTTTTCCTCTAGCATCCTCACAAATGTCTTTTTAATGAAGTTTCTCATTCTCCCAGCTACTTTGTGAGAAGATGCAAAAACAAGCCCACAAGCACATGCATGTATTGCTTAGACATAAAGCTGTGTGAGTATTGCACCCCTTAGATTTAGCGAGGCTATTAATTACATTGTGAATTTCAACAGGAAGAAGAAAATCCGAAGTCACACGGTTAGAGCTCTAGGTAAGATACAGGAACTCTGGAAATACTTTCTAAATAAGAGAGGGAAGCTTAAAACCTGAGCATTCTACCCACTCTATTTAGTGTATTTACATTGGTTAACTTTTTCTTGGTTATAATTAGATTGATACCACAGAAGAAAATTAAGTAACTCTTAACAAAGCCAACAGAAAGTACTTGAAAGAAACTTGATATTATCAACAAGCAAGATTGGATTGATGGTAATTTAGAGTTTTTGCACCATTTCAATAATGATACACAAAACTCATTTCCTAGATATTGATGAGTCTGGGATCTCTTCATCTAAAGATGTGGGAATCAAATTTTAATTTTGTGTGCTGTTATGTTTTTACTCTCTAAAATATGTCTTTTAAATTCCAGGAATGCTTTCTTTCTTTCTTCCTTTCTTTCTTTTGTTTGTGAGGAAGATCGGCCCTGAGCTAACATCTGCCAATCCTCTTTTTTGCTGAGGAAGACTGGCCCTGGGCTGACATCCATGCCCATCTTCCTCCACTTTACATGGGACGCCGCCACAGCATGGCTTGCCAAGAGGTGCGTTGGTGCGTGCCCGGGATCCGAACCTGCAAACCCCGGGCCGCCACAGCAGAGTGTGCGCACTTAACTACTCGCGCCACCCAGCCGGCCCCAGGAATGCTTTCTTTATGGGTAAATAAAAAGTTAAAATAAAAAACATTCTCTCACTGCTTTAAAGAAAGAACCACAAAGTTGTCAAATGAGGAAATGCTAGAGACTAAGAGGAGACTCAGTGTTATTGCTTGGCGTGTCAGAGCATTTTGAAGGGATATTTGCTGTGGATCAAATATTGGATGTGTTTAGTCAACTTAATTTCATAAGCACTGATTTAGGGAAATATAGGACTAATTAGACTCTGGCAGATGGAAAGTCAGTTAATGCAAAGATATAAACTACTGTCTGATCACAAAGGTCTTAATTTATTAATGGAGCATAAAACTGGTAATAATTCATTCAAAATTTATGAATGTTGAATGCAAGGCACAGTCTTAGATCCTCAGGGAAGTGGTGTTATAAAAACATGTATTAGATATGGATCCTGCCATGACAGATAAAGTTGGTTCATTGTATCCAGATCCTACAGAGGCCTATTCACGGTTAATATTAGTTAACAGCAGATGGTTTTTAATTTATTCTGACTTTAAACATTTAAGAATAAATTCATCTATTACAATAAAATCATTACTAGGTTTAATTAAAAATGTTTTTCATTTATCTAGTATTATTAAAAGAACCACATGCAAATAAAAAATAATGTATTATTTTCAGTTTTATATTTTGTGTTCTAAAATTATATTTAGCTCAAACCCCTGAATTTCTTTTTTGCATACTGCACTAAATATCTAACAGTTTTTCAAAATTAAAAATTCCAAGTAAGTAAATGAATACATGAAATTTAAATATAACGTTTGTAGAAATAATGTAATAAATATCAACATATACAAGGTTTCTTTAATTCAAATAAAGCTCACCATGGTTCAAAAATTAGAAATTGATAGTTTCTTATTTATAGAATTAGTAATATCAGGATTTTACATGATTACAGTAATCAAAGTGTACTATACAAATAAAATATTATATTCTACAGAATATAAAGAAGAATTCTTGTGTTACTCTGTAACTGTATCTTTTTAATAATAGAAATGAGGGTGAGGAAAAGAATTAAGATGTTAAGAGTAATGAATTTATGTATCACTTAACCAACTCAGTATTTTATGCAGGTAAGTCCATCAAAAAATCACTTCTTCCAAAAAGTTTTGATAATTAAAGCAAATGTTTTCTATTTTTCCTTAGGTTTTGAAACCAGAAAATGGTGGTTTCTAAAAGAAATGAGCCCCTGGTTAACTTAAAAAAGAGGAAGTATGTGGCTGTTTTAGAGTAATTCAAAATAGTTCACATATTTTAACATTTATTTTATTTAGGTCCCTATTAGGTAGATCCAACCCAGAAATTTCATGCTCCTCCCCTTGATTTGCATTTTTAAAATATTGTAAATTATAATGTCATTTAAAGAATTTCCTTCTATATTCTATTTAAAAGATAGATCTCATAAGGAGACTTCTTTTCATTCTTTTTTGGCAAGAAACCTCTGCTCCCTTGGACAAAAGTTAAAGTCTCCATGATTTCCCTGCCGCCTGCTCTCTGGATTGAGGGAAAAATGGTTAAATGTAATATGACTTCCTTTAGGAAACGTGCTCTTTGTTATAGTCCTTGGTGCTCACCAAAGTGACATGCATACTGTGTTCTCAATGTTTGATGAGCAACTAATGTGAATTAGAAATTTTTCAACACCTACCAAAGGTTAATTCAATTGGGAGTTCAGTTCTAGAGTCTGTTTTTTCTGAGAGAATGTTTATAAGTTCAGGGAGGAGTGAACAGAAAATTTATTTGCAAAGGGCATGGAGAAAACTGGATGTGGTAGTTCTAATCTACTCTTTAATCCATCTTCCCTGAATGGAGAGAACAGAGGGTTCTCCAGAATAGCACCCACACAACCAAGCCCAAGAGAAAAACACATGGCCCATAATCTAAATCAAATGAACAGACTGGTCATCTAACAAACATTCAATATACATCCTCCCAAGAATGCACAGCACTGAGGTATCTTCTTAGAATTGGTTCTCTGAAAATAATTCTGGTGATGATGATGGAAATTGCATTGATTTTGTGTCTTGTATATCAGTGGATAAAAGATATCTACTAATGCCATCTGAATATAGTTTTAC